ACAGCAGGTCTAGCGGGGCAGCTCCTCATCAGCTCTCTCACCAGCTGTCAATTCCTTATCCATGTGACAGCACAACCACTAAATCCTATTCTCTGGGAGGCTGAGATTCCCAAAGCAATCCTGAAACCAACAGCAGTCAGCTCAGGGAGTTCTTGTAGCACAGGGAAAGCCCCAGGGCTGGAGCAAGACAAGCACAGCTGCTCAGAGGCACTGACCCCTTCTCTTTCCTATCAGTGATTTCTCAACTAGACTGGCTCTGCATAGGAATTGAAGTCATTGGAATACTTATAATGTTTGGGACAACATGGTGTGAACCCAGAAAAGGGCCATCAAGATGCTCTGGGGCCTGGAGCAGCAGTGCTGGGAGGAGAGCTGAGAGAGCCGGAGCTGCTCAGCCCAAAGCAGGGGAGTCTCGCCAAGATCAGACCACATAAATCCTCACAGGAGGTGCAGGGGATTGGATTCAGGTTCTGCTCTGTGGTGCCCAGGCAGTCACAGGGCACAGGGCACAGCCTGGAGCCCATGAGCAGAGCAGTGGAGCCCATCAGCAGCACTGCAGTGCTGGGTGGGTACTGGAGCCCTGGCACAGGGTGCAGAGAGCAGTGGGGGCTCCTCCTGGGGGATCTCCCACAGCCCAGGCGGCTCTGTTGGGGCAGGGGGGGACCAGGGGGACCCAGAGATATGTTGGTGCAGCCCCAAGCACCCTGGGGTTCTGTGAACCCTGCAGGCTCTTTGTCACCGAGACCACAAGCGTGCTGGGAGCTCCCAGGTTGCTGTTTCCTGCCAAGAGGTTACAAAGGCGTCATCTCTCAGAATCCTCCATCCTCAGGAAAGCTCTGGAAGCCAGCTGGGTCTTTACCAATCAAATCCTGACCTTAGGAGGTGTCTTGGGCATTCTTCTCTGACAGCAAAATGTGCCTGAGAAGCACTTTCAGTTTCACAAGGGCCTGAGCCTCTTACAGGAAAAGCTCTGATTTCTGAGAAGCAGAGTTGGCAGGCATGGATCTGGATGAAAAACAAAGAACCTTTAACCTTTAAGCCAGATTTAGGTTAGATGTTAGGTGGAAATTCTGTACTTAGAGGGCAGTGAGGCACTGGCACTGCTGCCCAGGGAGCTGGAGTGCCCTGTTGGAAATATCCAAATAATTTTTTAGGACGGTATCTCTGATAAAGCAGGCGGGCTTCCTGCAAGCAGGAGAGCACGCAGAAAACAGTGTTACATCTTTTATTCACTATTACTTGACGCTTATCTCTTCCTCCCCTGGTTCCTCAATGGCTGAGTACTTCAGGTTAACGATCTTCTCGACACCCAACTAAACATACGGATACTGGAGAAACATCAATTTTTGCTAGCTAAGCATATATCACTAATTAGTTAAATTCTCACACTCACACATTCAACACTTGGTCACTGTTTCTGGACATCTGCTCGTCCTTGCATAGAAATAAGCTTGGAAGGAGGATAGGGGGGAGTACCTTGATGCCTGCCTGATGCATCCCAGCCTACCCACAGAGCAAGGCAATCCAGCCTTGTGTAGAGGCCCCAGCTTCTTTTGATGTTTGTTAAGTCTGTTTTTCTTTTGCTGAGGGTCTCTTGTCCAAACAGAGTAGCCCTACAATGTGCTTTCTAGTCCAGAACATTATACCTATACTATCTGGAACATTTAAAAACTATTGAAGTTTTTCAAGCAAGAATTAATCACACAATTCAGCAACTATATTTCTAAAGTATTTTACTAACTTATGGTGTTTCTACTTTTTCATATCAGCTATTTCTAAGGAGAAGTTACAAAATACAAATACATTGTGCTCTACATCTTCAACACCTTTTCAATATCTAATGCAGAAGCAGCATTCCATTCCTACATGCCCCATGCCTGGAGCTGCCCAAGGCCATGGGTGAGGCCCTAAAGGAGGTGTCTCTACGTCACGGTTGGACTTTGAGGTCCGTTCTAACCCAAGTCCGTTCTTCGACGCGATGAAAAACATTTCAGATAGAGCCCTCCCCGCCGCCAGGGGGCGCGCTCGGGTAACGCTGCGCCGCGCGGTGGGAAGTGGCGCGGCGTAGTGACGTCACGGCCACGCCGGGTGGGCCGATGCGGCGGCGGGAGGCGGCCTACGGTGGCCGGTGGGGGCCGAGCGGGCGCGGCGTGGGGCGGCGTGGGGCGGCTGGGTCGGGTCGGTGCGGGCGCCATGGAGTACGTGACGGCCGAGCAGCTGGCCGGCTTCAGCAAGTATAAGGTAGAGCGGCTTAGAGTGTGTCCTGGGGATCCGTGGGAGCCTGGAGGGAGGGAGATGTCGGGAATTTGTGGGGAGTGGGGAGAGTGCAGGGGGTCTGGGGCTTGCGGTCCTGCTGCTGGAGGGGGGCACAATGTAGGGTCCTTTGGCTGGGGGTACGATGGGGTTATTTGGCTGGGGGGGGTGAGGGACACTATGGGGTCTTTTGGCTGAAGGGGGCAATGGGACACTATGGAATTTTTTGGCTGGGGGGGTGGGGGACGCTATGGGGTCCTTTGGCTGGGAGGGGAGTGGGACACTGGGGTCCTTTGGTTGGGGGGGCTGTGGGACACTGTGGGGTCTTTGGCTGAGAGGAGTGAGATATACACTGTGGGGTCTTTTGGCTGGGGGAGGTTGATACTGTGAGGTCCTCTGGCTGTAGGTCTGTGCCATGGAGGAGTCTTGCTGCTGCTGCTGGGAGGGCTGCTGTGGGTCTTGGTACTCTGGGGAGGGTGGGAGGTAGTTTTCGTGGGGCTCTCCCCCACAAAGGGGGATGCCGTGGTCATATGAAGTGTCATTTGTGGTGCTCTTGTCCTTTTGGGGGCTGATGGGGTGTCATGTTCAGATTGGACATTAGGGTGTATCTGTTCTCTCAGAGAATGCTCAGCCATTGGCACAGCAGCTCAGGGAGGTGGTGGGACCACCATCCGTGGAGGTGTTCAATGAAGGTAGAGATGTGACACTGAGGGACGTGGTCAGTGGGCATGGTGGGATGGTTTGGGGTTGGGCTTGGTGAGCTTAGAGGTGTTTTCCAATCTTAATAGTTCTGTGATTCTCAAGTGGGGATGGTGATGATGGGTAGACAGTAAGACTTGACAATATTGGAGTTCTTTTCCAACCTTAATGATTCTATGTAAGCATGCCAGGAGTGTTAAAACAGTTTCAATGCATCTGTGGAGCAAAGCAGGTGATGAGCTTATCTGTAGAGCTGGGTAGTGCTGTCCATGCTGCTCTGCTCTCCTCCTGGAGCAGTTTGTGTATTCAAGCGTAGCTGGGGCTTACTCATGCCCTCCTTTTCCACCCTCACTTTCCACACTGTAAGCAATGTGAGCCTTGCTGGTGCAGAGGTTCCATTCCCAGCTGGATCAAGGGGCAGAAGCCAGCAGAGCGTGTGCTCCAGGGGCAGGACTACGGTCTTGCTGGCAGGAGTAGCCTTGCTCGAAAGATTGTGGTTTTATTGAGTCAATAAGGACTTTGATAAAAGCAGGCAGGTTCACAGTTAGTGCTCAGAGCGCATCGTGTCTGCTGTATGATGTCTCTGTCTGCTTGGCAGGGCTCTGCTTGTCTTGTTTGCTCTGGGAGTTTGTTTTTCTATGCTATTTTAGCCTTGATGAAGTGGCACAACCCTGTGATACTGAGTGGCGCGTTCCAGCCTTGCTGTGGGCATTGCACCTTGTCCTCCTGTGCCCTTTCCTTACCTGGTGACCCTGAGTGTGTTACTGCTGATGCAAAGCTGGTTTCCCTTTTGGCTACAGCCAGAAAACTTTAACAGTGTGAAATGCTCCTAAGGAGAGTGCGGAGAGGGGTATGTGTGAATGGATGTTAATACAAAATGTCAGGAGAGCATTTTAACTTCTGCTGCGTGGCTTTCTTTGAATCGTGTGTTAAACCTCAGCCATGTAACTTGAGTATGTACCCACAGCTGGAAAGTGGTGGGATCAGCCAAAAAGGCGATGCGCAGCCAGTGGCAAACCTGTGCTACAGGAGTCCCTCTGTTCCTGTTGCTGCTTTGGCCGGCATGTTATAGATTGGAGAAAAACCCAGAGGAGGCAACAAGGGAAAGAGCACAACCCTGCTCTCCCCGCAGTGGTGGTTAGTTTTCCTGAAGCAGAAGCGCTTTCTGCAGAGTTGCTTCCTCCAGCTCTTGCTCCTCCCGCGGCTGCCAGGAGTGCAGATGGCGAGCTGGGAGCCAGATGGCTTCAGCTTTGCAGTGTGCACGTTTCTGGCTGGGGAAGGTAGGTGTGTGCCTTCTGGCATAGGCTGGCTGAATGCTGGTAGGGCTGACGTGGAGGGAACCATCTTCTATCAGCCTCTCTGCCTTTATCTGCTCTTGATGGGACACCAAAGTGCCCTTGTTGGGGTTGAGCAGCAAAATGTTCAGCGTTGGCTTAACCTTACATTGTACTCCTGTCACTTCTTCAGCAGGAGGTTGTACTATTTGGGTACGTACATTTGGGTATAACTTAATCCATGGGACAGAAAGGTTTCTCTGCTGTACCAAATTTACCCCCTTGCCTGTTGGTGCTGAGGTTTTCCCCAGGAGATGCTGCTCACAGTGGTCAGAAAGCCAAACAGATCCTAAGTGAGTCTGCTCCAGTATTTCTTCTGGTGCAGAAGACTGATAGTTCTGGCAGGTTGGAGGGCTTGTTTTCAGAAATAAAGTTTGCTTTAAGGCTGCAGAGCAACGCATGCCTTGACCTTCCTGTTGAATGCTGAATGTCTTTGACTAAAACCAGGTGCTCTGTTGCTGCTCAGCACTGAATGCCCTCAGCCAGGCTTTGCTGCTCAGGGCTGCAAACCTTTCAGTTGGATGCCAGAAGTCACGATCTGCTTCTTAAGAACCAGCCTGCAAATCACTTTCTGGCAAGCTTCTATAAAATAGTCTGCAGAGGGGAAAGTGGGTCTGTGTGGAACATTCACAGAGATGTCTGCTCCTGTTTGGCATTCTCAAGGAAAAAGACCTTCCTTCCTCCTAGACTGCCCCCAAGTCCTGTTTTTTGCAGAGCAACCCAAACGTCTCGCCCTTGTGCAAGCTTTGTTGAGTGTGGTGCCTGGAGCTGGATGCAGAAGAGAGGGGAAGGACGCTTTGTGTGTTGCATGCTGCACTGGTGTTGCTTCTTCTTGTGCATCTCGATGAGCTGCATGCAGTCTTTGCAGCTCCTGGGACTCATTTCTGGGGGCTGCCAAAATGCCAGGAGCAGCTGCAGAAGGGGAAACTGAATGAGGGCAGAGCGCTACAGCTTGGTGATAGTGCCAGCTTCCACGGCTGCTCACAGTATTCTGGGGTTCCAGTCACATGTCCCAAGGTTCCTGCAGACTTTCCTGGCCCAGTGTTATCTTTGCTGGGGGTGATTCATGCCCCGAGGGTGGGGGGAGGACACAGGAAAGCAGGGTGTTGGAGCACTGCACCTGCATGGCACGAGAGCTGCGCCCTGAGAGGGGAGGTGATGACACGTGTCCTGCTTGGGTCCAAAGGTGGGATGGGATGCTCTGGGAGCAAACTGTGTGACAGAAAAGTGAACTGGGGGTTTGGGAAACGTTGCACCCTGGAATCCTTCCATGCCTGTGCTTTGTGCAAGGGGCAGTGATGACAGCAGCACTGCGGAGGAGGCTGGCAGCTGCCCCCTCGCCCGTGCTCTTGTGAAAGGCTTTTTGTCTCCTTACCTGCGTGGGCAGTGGAACAAAGCCCTCATAGTGTTGCCCTCGTGTTTGCTGGGCTGAGAATGGCAACAGCACTATGAGTTGTGCCATTGTCCTGATGTTGGGGCCACAGCAGGTCCAAGCATTGGTTGAGTGCCTTGTGTGTTGCGCATGGAGAGCTTGAACTGTGATGGGTGATGTCTCTTGCGTAGGAGAAGGAAGAAAGAAGGTTCTTCTCCAGCTGTGTGCTTCTAGAGGAGGAGATGTCTTGTATGGTGCAGAGCAAGCAAGCCCTCTGCATGTTCCCACATAGCAGATGTTTTATGTCAGGAAGTGCTGGGCTGTTACCCCAGTGAGAAAGGTGCTCTGTGAAGTGCCATTTAAAATATTATTTGTTAGAGCTGACACTGTGAGAATTGTATAGAGAATCGTATATCTCTTTATATGACAGAATTACCACAAGCTATTGTATGGTTTTCTTGCAAGAAAGCTTGATTCCTCATTTCCAGAGCCAAACAGAAGGATGCTCATGTGCAACCATCCCCCAGAGAGGCACGGGCACACAGGTACATGGGTGCTTTGAACGTGTTTGTCCTGTCCCAGGAAATCCTCTTCACTTCAGATTCAAGTGCTGTGGAGAGCGGGGCTGCAGATACTGCACTGCAGGAAGCAGATGGCTGGAAGCTGTCCTGGCAGCCTCACAGGCTCCTCTGGAAATACAAGCCCTGAAGAGATCCCTGCAGACACCCAAGTGTGTGCCAGTGGCTCTTCGGACCAGTGGAACAACACCACAGCTGGTAGTGAGAACTGCAAGAGAGGCTTTTGATGTTAGCAACCTGGATGGGAGGCTTGAGGCTGCAGCTTGTCTTCTCCTGCGGGGTCCTTAGCAGAAAGGGTGCCGTGCAGGAGAAAAGAACCCTTTGAGCCCTGTTTTTGAATCACTTACCTCCTCCAGTGTCTCCTTTAATTGTTCTGAGGCTCTGCATGTGCCTGCCTTTAATCAGCCACTTCCTGAAGTACTGTGTTGCACAGGATGCCCAAACCCCAGAGTACTGCCAGATTTCATAACTGCTGAGGTGAGCAGATAGAAGATAGAGGTGCTCTTCTTTTTTTTTCCATCTGTTAAATTCAGGATTTTGAACCTCTGCCAAATGCAATACACATATTGAGCACATTTTGGCTAGGGATTCCCTAGCTTCATGGAGGTCGCTGGGGTTGGACTTGGTCATCTTAGAGGTCTTTTCCAATCTGAATGATGCTGTGATTCTCTTCCATGAAGCAGTGGCACAGGTTGCTCAGGGAGGTGGTGGATATCCTTGCAGACAGCCCAGATCAGGCTGGACGGGGCTCTGAGCACCTGATTGAGCTGTAGATGTCTCTGTTCATAGCAGGGGTGTTGGACTAGATGACATTTAAAGGTCCCTTCCAACTCAAATGATTCTAGAATCTGTCTTTTGCTTTGCATTTTTGCTTTGAGTGCCTGATAGATCTTTGCACACATCTTCTCCACTGCTGTCCTGCTCGGTGTGTGCTGGGCTGCCTGGATGCACCTTGTGTGGGTGTAGAGCCCATCCCCAGATCAATGGCTGCAGTGACACGTAAGG